TCAAACTTGAACAAATGTTTCAAAGACGGGTCACAATCCATGGGCCTTTTCAATAGGTATATCAACTGGGTCATAAATTTATGTGGAATTTCCACTTATGGGAAAAATTCACTTTCCCTACTTTATCTTTACCCTATTTCAAAAATAACAAAACAACTTTTACATTTCAAAAATCAGAAATTTTGACTTATACATACACATTTATATAAATATTTATTTATACATATAAATATATAAATAAATATAAATAAATAAATATATATATATATGTATAAAATTAACCCACCCCCACCACGCCGGTGACCACTCCGGCGAAGTCTCCGATTCCGATGACTTCTCCGACGACTACTCCGATCCCGACGACCGCTCCGATTCCGACGACTATTCCGATGACATCAATTTTTTGTACGGTCACAGCCCAAATCACAAGTCACAGTCCAGGTCACAGCCTAGGTCACAGGTCACAACACATGATTTTTTGTTCATAATAATTGATAATACAATAAGGCTCACGTCTCACATTTTTATTAATAGTCATAGATTATTTTCAAATGGTCACAGCATCGGTCACAGTACATATATTGCACATGGCTCAGGTCACAGTTTTGTTCATAGTCCCATTTTATTTTCAAATGACTCAGATTTTTATTGATAGTCACAAGTTTATTTCAAATGGCCACAGCACAGGTCACATAATATTTTTTTGGGCATGGCTCAGGTTTTTATTGATAGTCACAGCATCGGTCACATTATATGGCTCAGGTTACAGCATTGGTCACAGCAACCGCACGTACAACCACCAACCACATTCCACAACCACCACAAAACACAATGCACAATGCCGCAAACCACCATATAAACATCCACACAAAACCATCGCCAACTGCACGCACAACCACCAACCACACACAAAAAAATCAGTAAAAAAACGACAGATCTGCCTTTAAAAGACAACCCCAACGCGCCACCAGCTAACCCACCAATGCAACACCACTGAACCGCCGTCACTGCCACCACCCCTGCACAACCACACCAATAAAAACAGCCTATAAATCACTGTAATAAATCTGCACAACCACCAACAAAATCACCAACAAAAATAGCCTAAAACTTCCTCCTGATACATCGAACGGAGAACGGCAACGTCGCGTGACGGCGCTAAATCGCAGCAGCTGGATTCGCTGCTGCAAATTAGCAGCAGCGTCCAATCGCAGCAGCGCCGCTGCCCAGCATCGCGCGACTTGAATCAGGGTGGAGAAGGGAGAAGACGCCGCAGGAGAGAGAGAGAGAGAGAGCTCCGTCGTTAGGGCTGCTGAGAAGGGAGGAGAAGGGGATGGAGGGGGAGGAGAAGCGTCGCCGGCAGCAACGGCCTGGAGAGAAGCCGTCGACAACAACGGCGTGGTCGGATCGGGAATGAGAGAGACGAGTGATTTAGGGTTGAAAATTGAATTTTATGAGGGGTAGGTATATATAAATTATTTTTTATAATATTATTATTAATATTTAATTAAATATAAAAATATGTATCTATCTATAAAAAATCTGATTTTTGAACATTAAAACTTAAAATGTTATTTTTGAACTTGGATCTTGAAAAGTAGGCCTCCATGTAATTTCCACTTACATAAAATCAGGTCTTTAGTTTGATCTTTTTAAAAATCAGGTTTGGACTTTATTTTTTCATTTTTCAGGTTTTTATCATTTTAATTAAACCATTAATCTTTTAAAACCCTAATTTACCAATTCATCACCCATCGTCTCTCTCTCCTTACCCTCCCGTCTCTCAGAACTGCCCGGAACTGTTAAGACCCATACATCGCTAGTTGCCTCGATGGTATTCGTCGGAGATTAGTGAATGCGAAGCTGCCTTTGTGCTTGAAGCCATACTTTTCTTCTGCCTCTTTTTTTATTTCTTTCAATCACCTGAGACTTGAAATTTCTTCTTTTAGAAATGGATCTTTTGAATAGAGGCTGCAATTTTTAATTCATGTTAAAAGAGTTTTGTTTCAAATCGTGTAATTTTTGTTTATCTCCATTGTTATGGCTTTTTTTCTTCGATTTGGACACCAAAAAACTTTACATTAAAAATTGCTTTCATTTTGTAAAACAATTTCTTCCCTTCAGTAGCAATGTTTTGTAGCTGAAAATAACAATCTGTGACCAAATGAAAATAACAAATTAATTTGTTCCAGCTATCAGGTCACAGATTGGTATATTAGGTCACAGATATGTTTCACTGGAAAGATTTGCCATGTATATCCAGAAATCACAGACAACAAATACAAGTTCTTTATTGGTAAATTAGGTCATAGATACCCCATGCTTCATTGGAAACATTTGCCATGTATATCCAGAAGTCACAGACAATAAATAAAAGTTCTTTAACAGTTATTTAGGTCACAGGAAAAATTCTGGTGGTACACAACCCCTATGTTACCCCTATGTACCCCAAGCAAAGCTCAGGTCACAGATTGGTATATCAGGTCACAGATACCCCATGCTTCACTGAAAACATTTGCCTTATATATATAGGAGTCACAGACAACAAATACAAGTTCTTTAACAGTTCTTTAGGTCACATTTCCCACTTAACCCATTTTCCTTGCATTACAACAAAAATTTCATTTGATCACAGTCATTGTTTACATATCAATTGATAGCTGGAACAAATTAATGGAATGTAAAAGATTATCTAAAATTGTTATGTCTACTGTCTAATATTGACTTAATGGAACCAAGCTACTACATCTTCTACGATTGTGACCATGTCCTCCACAATTGCAATGTGTACGATCGACACCAGCAATGGAAATTGTGACCTGAACTCCAATCCACTCCAACACTACGAACAGAATTGCACTGTGACCAGATATTACCACCTCCGAACTGTGATCGGTAACGTCAAATTTACCGTCGTTAATTGTCAGCCTGAAGGAACTCCACTACCCAGAATCTGAATTTAATATATTACAGCCGGAGAACAGTCATCGAAGTAGTCGCCGGTCACCGGAATATTCGCCGGAGCAGGGAGGGTGGTGGAGGTGGGGTGGAGTGGAGTGGGGGATTAATTATATTACAGTTAAATATTTAATTTAATATAATAATTGTAAAATATAATTAATTAATTAATGAAAAACCTGATTTTTGCAATTCTAAACTTTGGGGCCTGATTTTTTATTTTGGAATAGATAAAGTTTGAGTTGTGAATTTTTCCCTAAATTTATGCCAACAAGACCAATAACCATGGGCCCGTCCGAAACAAAAGATACGGGTCAAAGTTTGTGGTAATTGTATAAAACCAGGCATTAAGTTTAACATTTTTAAAAATCAGGTTTTGTCTTTATTTAATTAAAAATCAGGTTTTCATTTCACAATTAATAATAATAATAATTTAATTTATCTATATACCCAGAACCCGCCCACTTCCTACCCCCACAAACCCTAAATCAACCCTCACCATTTCTCTCTACTCTCCCTCCATTCCCTCCACCGCCCGCCGCCTCCCCCTCCCCCTCCCTAGTCCGTCGCTCCCCCTCCCCCTGCAAAGAGTCGCAGCAGCGTCACAGCGACGCTGCTGCTATTCTCCAGCGTCGCGCGCTGCTGAGCCTGAACGGCAGCAGCGTCAGCGACACTGCTGCCAGTCGCTTCTTAACTTCCTCTTTCAACTCCAACTCCACCACAAAAATGTAAAAATGGCAGATCTGAAGCAATATCTTGCAGGTTACCCTTTTCCTTTCTTATTTTATTTGGCGGTGGTGGTGCAGCGATTTGGTTTCAGTTTGTGGCGGATCAGTTCCAGGTTTGGGTGAGCTGTTGCAGGTAGGTTTTGTGGCGATCTGAGTTGTTGCAGGTGGCCGGGCTGTGGCGAACGTCGGCGGTTTGGGTTCAGTTTGTGGCGGATCAGAGCTGTTGCAGGTTTGGGTGAGCTGTTGCAGGTGGGTTTTGTGGCGAATCTGTAGTGTTTTATGTGGCCGGTTAGTTTGTGATCGTGTGGTGGTGATAAACTTTGTATGGATTTGTGGTGGCGGTCTGTGTGGTGGTGGTGGTCGTCATTTTTTGTTATTGTTGTGACTAATGAAGCTAAGTGTAACCTTAATAAGATATCCGTGACCTAGGAATCGGAGCAGTTATCTGAATTAAGCTAACTGTGACCTTAATACTACTCCGAATTAAGCTAATCGTGACCTTAATAAGATATCTGTGACCTCGGAATCGGAGCAATTATTTGAATTAAGTTAACTGTGACCTTTAATAAGATATCTGTGACCTTTACATCGTGGTTCGTTTTGGTGTCTGTGACCTTACTATTGAACTGTGATTTTAAAATTGATAATTTGTAACTTAAAAAAGGAATCTGTGACCTTAATTTTTTTCATCTGTGACCTCGAAATAATCTGTGACCTATGAAATTTTAAATCTGTGACCTCGAAATAATCTGCGATCTACAAATTTTTTTATCTGTGACCTCGAAATAACCCCTGACCTACAAATTTCTTGATCTGTGACCTCGAAAAAGCCGCCGGATCGGAGCAGTCGCTGATCGCCGGAGTAGTAGTCGGAGCAATGGTAGTGGTGTAGGTGGGGTGAGGTGGGGTGATTTTATTATATTACAGTTAAATATTTAATTTAATATAATAATTCTGAAATATAATTAATTAATTTAAGGAAAACCTGATTTTTGTAATTTTAAACTGTTGGGCCTGATTTTTAATTTTGGAATAGTAAACACCTGACTCATGAATTTTTCCCATCAAAGTTTTCTTCGTAAAACTTGGGTACCTTTATGGTCCATACCAAAATTTGACTAAAAAGAGTCCAGCCCAAATGGATCCCAACTAGTAGATCTGGGCCCGGGTCGGATAAGAAATCCAGTAATCTTCTTGTTCCTCCATCCTTCATTAAAGGATAAGGAAACAAGAAACCAGTCCCTCTCTACTCTCTACTCTTTCTTCCTCCAATTTCTCCAAAATTTTCAAATCTTTCCGCTGTAAATTCAAGCCATGGCGGCATCACTATTAACACCAGTACTCCCTTCACTCTCTCTTATTTCTAATCCCATATCCACCTCTCTCAAAAGCTCCGTCTCTTTCTCCCTTCCCACCTCCCTCGCCAAGGTAAACCACCCTGAAAATTCCCTTTCAAATTCCCCTTTTTATCATTTCTTTACCGCTTTTGTACAATTATGAAACTGGGTCATGTTTAATTTGTTTGAATATTATATATAGATTGGTGGGTTGAGCAAAAGCTCAGAAAATTCCTTCATCAAATGTTTTGTTTTGGTTCAATTACAGAACATGGTTTGTGTTTATTCATTTTCTTGTGTGTAGATTGGTGGAATGAGCATAAAGTGCGTTCGTGTGGGTGGAGTGGAGATCCCCAACAACAAGAGAGTAGAGTACTCGCTGCAGTACATTCATGGGGTTGGTCGCACTCGAGCCAAACAGATACTGGTTGATTTAAGCATGGAGAACAAGATCACTAAGGACTTATCTGAAGAGGAACTCACCACTCTTCGTGAGGAAGTTTCCAAGTACATGATTGAAGGAGACCTTGTAAATATTCTGATACATTACCTAATTATCTCAGTTTTGCTGCTTATTAGTTTAGTATGGTTGCTTGAATTCACAATGTAGATTGTTTTTTGGGTTTTTTTATGGTTAATCTGATGTGGGTTTTTGGCAAATTGTGATTATGTTGTGTTTGATTACTCTTGATCCTGCTCAGCAGTGTGGAATGCAGATGAAATTTGAAATAAGTTTTAGCACATTTCAAACCCCAGGGCCTAATTCCATACTTCCTCTAGTCCGAGGCTTAACTATATTGTCGATGTGATGCTAAAGCAAATTTCTTTATCTTGACCGAGAGATTTTCGAGTGCTGAACCATGTTGTGGTTTGCACTGGGATGATGAAAACCATTTTTCCATCCCATTTTTATCATGGGTTCTGGGTAGAGACCAAAGATCTTGACGATCGATCCCACAGAATCAGCTCTTTCTTTGTTGAACCCCTCGTCAAACACGCCCCTTACATAGAGATTGAATTCATTTTTTGTGGGCACAATTTTTTGTAAATCAGTGGCAACGAGTCTTGAACCTTGTACCCAAGTCCGTTTTGCTGTCATGTTAAACCACCTCATTCAAGCTTTTAGGGAGGACGTATTTCTTCATTTATTTAAACTGAGTCTTTAACATCAATTGGCATTGTTTTCTTTTTGTTGTACTTGTGAAAATGTGATTTGGGATTCTGATTCTGAATGTGAATATGTTAATTTAGGCATCTGTCATGTTAATTGTTTTGGGTGGCATTTACAGAGGAGATTCAATGCTCTTGCCATTAGAAGGTTGAAGGAGATACAATGCTACAGAGGTGTTAGACATATTCAGGGATTGCCATGCAGAGGACAGAGGACTAAGAACAATTGCAGAACCTTGAAAGGAAAGAGGGTTGCTATTCCCGGGAAAAAGAAGCGTTAGGCGATCGTGTACTTCCTCTTCTGAAATGGATTGGTAATTTTCGCATTAGGCTTGAGATCTGTATTCTTTAGTAAAGTTCAACTAATACAATGTGATATTATATTTCATTTCCTTTTTAAGAAATCACATTTGCTGTAGCTTGTTACCTGTTTCAAATCGAACAAAGTTTTCGTGTTGGTTCTTGTAAGTCAGTACTCAGAAAAGAAAATTATTGGCAAAGGTGGAAATGTCTAATTATAAGCAATGCCTGGCATGGTTGCAAAGAGATGAAGGTCAAGCGTCAAAATATGTATTTTCTTTGGAACAAAGTGTTGATAGGGATTCCTTTTTTGTTATGTTTAGGGAATGTCAATCTATTCTGAAATTAGATTCTCCTGCTTACTCCTAGACGGATCAGCTTGCAAAGAACGGTGCTGATAAGATCAGGATTCGATGCAATTATGATCATTATGGTCACTAACAAAATTGAGTCTTAGACAAGCAACATCTAATTACACTTCAAGTTCAAACACCATCGGTAACCGTAAATCTATGAGTTAAATGTTTCATTACTCACTGAACTTATATATCCGTTATGTTTTACTCATTTAACTTTAAAATGCTTCCGAGTGGTTACTGAAAGTTAATACGTTACACTTCATCACTCATTAACCATGTTTAATTAGTGGCCGAACTTTCAAAATGCTTCAAAGTGGTCACAGAAATTTAACGCGTTATATTCCATTACTCACTCACTTGTTTCATTAGTCATTGAATTTAAACTTTCGTCGTGTTTTATTCACTCTACTTCAAAATGCTTCCAAGTGGCCACTGAACTTTACTCATTAAAGCCAACTATTCAAAATTGCAAACTTGTAAAATAGAATAAAAGAAGACGATGCCCTTCTTTCCTCTTGAATTACCTTGTGACAACTTTAAAAATTATATTTTGTTAATCTTGATTAATATTATTAACTCTAAATCGAAAAATTTCACCGTTTATTTGAGATAAAATCTTTTAATTTTTTTTATTTGGGCCTAAGATCACAATTGAAATAAAGAAATAATTCATTTATTTTATTTTCTCGGCTTAAAGAAATATTATGATATATATTAAGATTTAAGTCAATTTGAAGATTGCATTCTTCTTTCTTCTTGAACATGACTTTTGATTGTGAGAGAAATTATATTTTCTTTACCACTATCAACATTCTCGTCTTAGATTGAGAGTCATTATCTAATCAATATTTATTTTATTTTCTTAATATAGATCCTATCTCATAAAAAATCAGATTTACTCGAAAATATTATGAAGTTTATAAACTACTTACACGTATTTCAAAATTCAATAAGTAAGCTTAACGAAAGTACAAATTTAGTGACTAATGAAACATTGTAAGTAATTGATAGTTTAACATTTTAAATTTCAGTAACCACTTTGGAACATTTTTAAAGTTCTAGACCCGAAATCACTTCGAGAGCATTCCGCAAGTTTTTGGCGACTTTCACTTTCAACCCAATTCACCACCTAAGCACTTAGCACGCACCCCTACCCCTGCCTGAAAGCGCCTACCACATTCCTATATAGCCGCCTTGATAACGTTAGCTCGCTAGTAAAGCGAGGAATGCTCGGAATTTTCTTGGAAGAAAGAACGACTTTAGAAGAACTTGGCTTCCTTGAAAGCTGGGTAAGGCAGGTGCGATGAACACTGTTGCGACTAATGAAACGTGATGAATTAGTAATTCAATGCAATGCAACATGTTAAAATTTAGTTACCACTCAAAAATATTTTGAAGTTTAGTGAATGGTATAAGTTCAATGACTAATAAAACATTTAACTCATAAATCTATCTATCCAAAAAAAGTAGTTCGTCGGGCTCAACTCGGTGGGACAAAAACATTTCATTTGACACTAGTTTCCAATGTAGAACTATATAAACAACAAACTTTTCTTAAACGCACAAGAAGACAACAGTACACAGTAAGACAACATTAAACACACCCATGTTTCCATATCACCCAAGAGCTTTGAACACCTCAAACGCTAACCTAGGGGGAGCATGAAAACACAAGCAGACAGGCATTCCCATACACCTACAGTTTAAAGTTCCAAAAACAAATAGATAATCCAAACCCCTAAAACCCCATTCCATCTCATCCCCAAGAGTCTCTCAATCATTTTGCTGCTGTGCATTTTCCAAGAACCATTGGAGAACTCATCGAACTTGAACCATTTCGAGGTGGGTCCATAATCACTGGTAGGAAATCCAATCGATCACAAGCAAAAATGGAGGTCTCGAATCTTCTTTTCAACATCTCCTTTCCCTTTTTCAAAAATATGAAAACAAAGATTATACTGCAATATACCCAAAACAATTTTCTTGAACAGATTATGTAATGTACCTGGATTTGAGCCCAAGTAATTTCGCAGATTTTCTTGGATGAAAAGCCCTCTTGGCTGGTTACAACCGCACCCCATCGGTAGTTCTCAAGGATTTTCTTGATCTTTACAGCACCTGATGCAGTTGTGAAGTTTACAAAACCATATCCCAAATTCTTCATTGTCCTATAGAGATTCAAATAAAAATATTTGTTGTATTAAGATAATTTTCGTAAAAAATAATTTACTAGTAAATAAATTTGATTACCTGAAGTCCATAGGTAAGTACAAGAAATCATACTCCAGAGAGTATTCCCGGCAACACCAGTCAAGAAAATCCATCAATTCATCTCTCCTGATAATTTTCAAACCATTTATAATCTCATATAAATGATACGTAATCATCTGCTTTGAGGTATTATTGAAGAGGAAGATGGTGAGCGCAGAAAAAAGTGATATTTCGATCTCAAATACCGCCAAAAAAAAAAAAGATGATGCGGTTACCTTCCTAATATTACAAAAACAGTTAACCTTAAAACGAACACATCAAAAATTTAACGTAAGAGCATCAAAAGTTCTACATGCATAAGGGGAAAAACTGGTTCAATTAAAAAAAACGTAAAATAATAAAGTTTATAATACAGAATGCATTTAAAAAGATGAAGAATAAGTGCACCTCATCTGATTTGGAATGTTCTTGATCATTATAGTAGTTTTCTCAGAGTGGCAAGAATCCAAAGGAGATGTCGATGAAGATTCCGGCTCCTTGGACCGCCATTCCATTTTACCACCGTCCATCTTCTCCTGCAGACGGTAGCTTCTTCCGATAAACCGTTTTGGGTGGCAAAACCTTTTTGTCCTCCTTTTTTCTCCATTAACACAATTAGCTTTTGAACTTCTTACGACCTTTTGATTTTCCACGTTCTTTAATACATTTTCCTCTCTTTTCATTTCAGTTCCAGTTTCCAGTTCCTTTGTCTCAACAAAAGCACCACCGGTTTCACCGAAGAAACACCCACCCGGCTGAAAATGAGTAAAAGGAGAGGGATGAAAAAGCTGAGACTGGGAGTTCGTATTATACACAATGACACACTGGTAGCTCGACAAAGTTGGTAACGGTAGGTTATAATAAGGAAGCCGCACAGAGTAGGTTACGAGCGGCTGCACCGCCTGTTGCGGCGACAGAAGGAGTGGCAGTGGACTTGAAGTTGAAGGTTGAAACTTGGGTTGCAGAACATCATGGAAAGTTGGAAACTTCTGGGATTTTGAGGGTAACCATTCCTTGGCAAGAGGATTCAGTGGTTTGTTAGGGTGGAAAAGAGAATCCATGTAACGCTTGAAGCACATAACTATGACAATATTCAAGAACAAGGCAAAATGAGAATTGAAATGATTATTTGCCCTTCCAATGTATACAGAAGTAATAGTACACGAATCTTCTTTCTCCAGACAAAAGAAAAATGAATTTTTCCACTGGTACTTAAAGAACACAATTTTAAACTTTTATTAAGCCATATGTTGACCATAATTATTTGAAAACTCCCTTCTTTTTTTTTTTTTAACGTACTTATTTTTTACCATACATTTACAAAATAAAATATTTTACACGTAAATTTCAATTTTTCTTTATTTTTTAACAACACATTCTCCTCAAAATCACTCTATAAAATATTGGTTTTCCCGATAATGATTGTCAAACGGAGCTTAAAGAGTATTAGACGTTAAGCTTCTGTTTGGACTCCATTCTAATGAGATTTTAGAAAAAATATGTTTTAAAATAGTATTTTTTTAGAGAATATATAGTTAAAAAAGAAAGAAAATTTTTAAATTTACGTCTAATCTTGTTTTATTAAAAAATATTAGCAACCACAAATCCATTGCTAATTTGATGATCTTTGATAATTACCAACTGATCGCATCGTTTGTAAAGAGTAAACATTTTATTTTACCAATGAATTTTTTTGTTGTTAAAGTGTAAACCTTTTACCAACGGAAATTCTGCTAGTAAAAATCTTAACCATTACCAATCAATTTTTCGTGAGTAAATGCCTATCATTACAATTGGTAAAAGTTAGTGTCGTAAATAGCAGCATAGGTGCGAGGTGTGGTAAAAAATTTATGTATTTATTATTGTTTAATAATTATAAAATTTTTAACTTTTAGCCAATTGAAGTGAGAGGTCCAAAAAGTTGTTATTATATCCCTAATTTATAGAGGTCATCTCCAAAAATTTTGTCGTGAACTTTCGATGTAGGATAAAAATTCATTTGATTTGGCATTATTAAAATTGATTGATATCGTCAACGGATTTTCCATAAGTAATATGAATTAATATTCACTTACAGAATTTTTGTTGGTGAAAGGGCTGAAATTAAAAAAAAAAAAATTAATTAATTACCCTTAACCTACGAATATTCCATAGGAGAATGTTTGAATTTTTTAATTATTAAAATTGATTAATATTAGCAACGATAGTTCCGTTGGTAATATGAAGTATTCTTCGCCCACATAAAATCCGTGGGTGAAAGGTTGAGACGTTTTTCAGAAAAAAAATAAAATTGAGTTACATCATTTACGAAAATGCTGCTGGTAAATGGTAAACATATTAAAAAACATTAGGTGTGGAATATCCATAAGTGAAAAGCTGATTTTTGTAGTGAAGTAATAAAGTGAAGAGTAAAGTATTGTTTCCATGAGAACTGCGTACTTAAACTAGATTCAATTAATCATGACCTTAATCGAATAGCAAATTGTGTTTGAATAATTTTATACTAAATTATATAATCAAACTAATTATTTTAATGAGCAATTTATAAAGTTTTTGTAAATTTTGATGCGATATTATGAAGATTTTAAATCCCCCTTATTAATTCATTTCAATGCAAATCAATAACATGATAATATGTACATATTTTTGTTGATCAATATTCCTAAATTAATTAAAAGCATTTCTCGATATCAATTAAATCTATATCATCTCATATGAGCTTCATATATCCATATGCAATATACGAACATGAAAGCATACATTAAAAATACTAGAACGTCTATAGAAAATCATGCAAAGTATAGCTGTATATCTTTATCATTTATTGGACTTTACAATAATTGTTATAAAGTGTTTTATATTCTATTATTTCTCTCGAAATCAATAAAATCACAATCAATCCAATTAATGACCAAGTAATTGAAAAGTCATTAAATTTTATAACGATTATAAAAAAAATAAACACATATTGAGCATCAAATTATCGAATTTATATTAAAATATCATAATAAGGATTTATCAACATCTTAGTAATTGAAATACTAACTTAGCGTTACTAAATTGTAAGAAAATATTTTTAATTGGAATAACATAACCCGAATTTTAAATTGATGAAGAAGATGATAACGAATGTTGAAATCTCGAATTTCTTCAATGGCTTCTTGAGTCAAGATTGCAACTCTAATTTCTTTAAAATTTGTAATTGCCCTTTAATTCTCACAATAACAGTAGATTTGTCTTTTTTTTTTTTTTT